TTTTTTATACAAATGCCTAAGAAAAAATACACCTGAAAAAGACTTGCGTGCCAAATGTAAATAAGGATTAAAATTTAAAAACTAATCAATACAGTTTAAGTAAAATCTGTGGAAAATTAACAATAAAATACTTTTTTCGCAAAATCTATAAAGGACTCTTTTATTTCTCAAAAAAAAATCGACGATTCGACATTCTGCACAATGAACGACGACGCACCCACTAGGATTATGGGCAGCTGCTGCAGCTCGCCAAACATTACAATAGTCAGCGCTGGTTTGATAAACAGCATATCATGGCGACCTATGCTGACTTTGGCATCAGACCATCTGCCCGTAGTCATCTCGATCGATAAACCAACCGACTTTGCTTCCGCGGAGCATCGAACATATATCAACTTCTCCAAAGCTGATTGGAAAGGCTTCGCGGAATTTACTGAAAACACTTTCGCTGCTCTCCCCACACCAACCGACGTCCACCTCGGTGAACGTAAGTTCCGCAGGGCTTTCACTGCTGCTCCAGCCCGCTTCGCACCGGCAGGATGCATCACGGACCCACGTCCAAATTTCCGTGACAGCCTTCGTCAGGCCGATCCCGGAGATCCCCGTATCAGGGATCTCAACGCGGAGATGCGGCAACTAGTGAACGTACATAAGCGGAAGAAGTGGGAAGAACATCTGAAGACCTGTAACTTCACCTCTGGTGTGAGTAAGCTTTGGTCAACCGTAAGGTCACTGTCCAATCCGACGAAGCACGACGACAGAGTCGAAATTTCTTTCGGCGACCATGCCTCGTCGGACCCGGAGCGATGCGCGAGCTACTTTAGCCGGCAGTTCAAACTGCATCCTCCGGTGGACAAAACCAAGCGTCGAGTGACCAGAAGGCTGCAACTGCCAACAAATTGTGCCCCCCTTGCTTTCACTTGCGGTGAAGTTCAGGTGGCCATCGGGAAGGCGAAAGCCTCCAAAGCCATGGGTCCCGACGGAATATGCATGCTGATGCTGAAAAATTTTGGTCCTGCGGGAGTAGCGTACCTAACGGAGGTCCTCAATTTGTCTATTGCCACTCTCATCATCCCAGATATCTGGAAGGTGGGGAGAGTGGTCCCACTGCTCAAACCGGGGAAACCTTCCGACAAAGGAGATTCGTATCGACCGACAACACTCCTTTCCCCGGTAGCGAAGACACTTGAGGCCCTGCTGCTCCCGTATTTCACGAACCACCTGACCCCAGCGAGGCATCAGCATGGTTTCCGTAAAGTGCACAAAACCACAACAGCAGTTAACGCCATAAACACTCAGATAACTCGTGGCCTTAACCGTAACCGTCCCTGGGAGAGAACGATTCTAGTAGCGTTGGACCTGTCAAAGGCTTTTGAGACTGTCAGCCATTCCACGCTATTAGAAGATATAGAGGCCTCCTCTCTCCCACAGAGGCTCAAACGGTGGTCGCCAAATTATCTGAGTGGTGGACACTCGTCGGTAATGTTTAGAGACAAATCGAGCAAACTTAGGAAAATCAAACACGGTGTTCCACAGGGTGGTGTCCTTTCCCCGCTCCCTCAACCACCAGAGGGAGTCTCGATTGTCTCTTACGCCGACGATTGCTCGATCATGGCGACTGGGAATGGAATTGATGACCTGTGTTCGAAAGTAAACGGGAATCTCTCCGATCTCTCTCGCTTCTTCGCTGCAAAGTGTCTAGCCCTCTCCCCTACGAAATCCTCTGCGACCTTGTTCACCACCTGGACGAAGGTCAGGCTACCGCTGGGAATTCACGTCGATAATACACCAATTCCGAAGGTGAATAACCCCAAATTACTCGGAGTAACATTCGACAGCCTGCTCTCCTTCTCTGCGCACGCAACCGCTATTGTTAAAAAAGTACAGAGCCGCAACAAAGTCCTCAAGTCGCTACCCGGCAGTTCCTGGGGCAAAGACAAAGAAACGTTGCTGGCAACATACAAGGCAATAGGCCGGCCGGTTTTAAACTACGCAGCACCAGTGTGGTCGCCGGGGACTAGTAGGACGCAGTGGATGAAGCTACAGATTGCACAGAACACCGCACTCAGGACTGCGACCGGATGCCTCCTGATGTCACCCGAACACCACCCCCCTGACGAGGCGAAAATGCTCCCAATTAGGGAGCATAACATAATGCTCTGCAAGCAGTTTCTGGTTGGGAGCCACAGATGCGGCCACCCAAACAGACAGCTGCTTGCAGAGGAGCCCTCGCCTAGACACGTCAGGAGGCATCTATATGAACTGACAGACGAAGTCCAGAGGTTCATTAAGCAGCCTCTGGACCCGTCAGCATACCGAGAGGCTCTGAACGGCATTCACAGGGACTCAGTATCGAGTTATGTAGACTCTAGACCTGTGAATGCCGTTCTAGGCACACAAACACCGGACATTGACGCGACGGATCTCCATCTGCCTCGGGAAACAAGAACAACAATAGCCCAACTTCGCTCTGGCTACTGCAGCAGGTTAAGCTCATACCTGAGTAGACTAAATGAGGATGTGCCAAATGAGTGTCCGGCATGCGGAGATACCCCTCACGACTCGAAACATCTCTTCGCATGCCCGGAAAGCCCGACAACCCTAACGACGTTGTCCCTGTGGACCGACCCCGTAGAGGCTGCACGCTTCTTGGGGCTGCCGTTAGTGGAACTCGACGACAACGACTGAGATATCAACCGATCTGGGCGGGGTTGTTGTAGCCGCTACAACAACAACAACAATGTCAATGTTGTCGCGCCGTACAATTTAGCCTAATTTACGACTTACGCAATGAGGCTGCTCGTTTTTCTTAAAATCTGGACCTGGTGGAAACTTTATACTTACGGATTCGCAATCAGCCAGAAAAATTCTATCAAAAACAGCTTTAATATTTACCGCACTAAAATCAGTGTTGCCCTGTGTAAGCTTTCCACACAACACTGTTATTATTTTATTGCGCTATTCAATCATGAATTACAACAAAACTTGGACGAATCTGGTTACTTTCGTTTTGAATTCTTGAATTACGCTGTTTTTACTTTCAAAGTGCAGAATAGCCCGATCTCCCGCGATCACAACTTTTTCAACAATCAAATAAAAAAATATAAGAATATTCCTATATATAGAATATTCTTATATTTTTTAATACAGGTTTTACAATTAACTTTAAGATATATTGTTTCGTTCGAACACTTATTTTCAAAGAAAAAATAAAAATTTCCAAAACACGGCAAAAGTTTTCAAGTTTTTGCAATCTTGCAACAAAGTTTACACAGTGTACTGTTCGACTACAAAACTCGGTGCTGCCTGAATATCATTAAAAAATATTAATCTTGGTAAATTCGGGGCCCACTTGAGGAAGCCTGAACCATTTACAGTATATTTTGCTTTGCTGCCTCTATGCTTAAGTGCACATTTAAGATACCTACCCCAAAATGCGCATCAAAAGCATTATTTTTAACATTTATAAGGAAACTGCTGCGATAGATGCATTCAACATACCTGCACATTGGCGATACCTGCTTTAAAAATTGCGCGACTAGTATCAATTATCAACGAAAGTATTACGTTTACCTGCACTGGCCCTACAATTACCTAATTTTACAACCTTTTATTTAGTTTGATCATCTCGCAGAACAACGAAAATGGCTATCAATTTATGTAGTTATATAGATAATTAGATAACATTCGGTAAAAATTTCGCTTGCAGTAATTTCTACATGGTAAGTGCTCCGCCAATATTTGGTTTCATAGGGATTCGGATACCTTCCTCATTGAAGTAGTAAAGAAAATTCGCTTAAGTGCCTTTTTCGGTTACGTGCACAAGTTTTCCGTGCAAAGAAGGATGTGCAGCTAAGCAAAATATACTGTACTTGTGTCAAACATTTTAGTATAATGACTTAGATTATTTTAGATACCGTCAGAAATGCCTTCTATCTCGCACAAAATATGCCTTAATCACTATTTTAAAATCAAATTTCCGAAGCACAATTTTAGAGCCAATGAGAAAAGCAGCACAAACTTTAATAAGAATAGCAAGATCATACTGCTCTAGTGAAGAATATACAAAAAAAAGATGCATTTCTCTATGCAACGGACCTTCCTCTTGACAAATTACCATGTTTTGCAACAGTCGGACAACTTTGATTTTTTGGAATATTGGCCAACTCTTTCGTCATTTCTCCCACTGTGCATATATGGCGCTGATTAAACAAAAAGCAGAAAAGATGTTTACATTTAAAAACTTGGAAAATTAACCTTAAATATTTCATTTATTACTACAATAAATTTTATAGTAGTCTTGCCCAATTCGAAGAATTTTGCAATTTTGTAACCCAAGTCAAAATCCTGATTTTGTAACGTCACACCTGTGCATACTATGTTTACTAATATCTTTAAATCGCTACCACCAACAGTTGCAATTTTTTTTTACTGGCCAATTAATTGATATGCAAATCTAGAAAAACCTTTTTGAAATTTAGACTTTTCAATTTTTTTTTTTTAACATTTTATCATCCAAATGTCACGTAACGCCAGATTGGAAGTATTCATATACAGAAAATAGCACATATAGAAAATAATCTTTGAAAATTGCACTGACCTAAAATCTCCCATGGTCCTCTAAAATGCCAGGGTTTTTTGTCTGGTCCAACATTCTGCACATCACTCAAGTGATTGTTGAGAAGATCACGCATTGCAGTGCTTGAGGCCAGCATTAAAGGCGTTTGACCTGTTAACGGAAAAAAATTTATATTGTACAAATTTGGTTATCTAAGAGAAACTCGTAATTACTACATTGAAACGCACCTGAATATGTAGCGAGTAGAGGGTCAGCCCCATACGAAAGCAGCAAACGGACAATCTCTTCGTGATCGTTTTCACTTGCCTCGTGTAACGGTCGAATGCCCGAATGTGCTGCTTCCGAATGATTTGCGCCATACTGCAAAAGAATCCTAGCGATCTCAAGCCAGCCCTTCGTGCAGGCTTCATGTAGTGGTGTATAGCCAGCATTATCTTTCTGATCCGGATTAATACCCATACGATCTAAGCAGTATACAACAACATCTATGTATCCCAGACGTGCCGCTTTGTGCACTGTGGTCTGGCCAACGCTCTTATTAAGCACCCATTTACCTATTTCACGACGCACATCACTCTCGGTCTTTACCTTTTTTTCATAATTTTCATCCTCTGTTCTCCTGTCAAGCTTGACCAGTATTTGCAAATTTTGAGTGGAATTAAGGTTCATGGAAGAAGTCGGATTGGGTTTCTTCTTTTTGCGTATGTAATCAAACCCAGAGCTTCCTTTTCGACGTAGATACTTTCCAGGCCGACGTCTTCTGAAGCTAGACGTTGCAACATCGACTACAAAATTAGCTTTGTTACCAGCACTAGTATCCAGTGTTTCTGCTACGCCATTACTTGCCAACGTGTCTTCCTCGTCATTAATGTTAACTTTTCCATGATTCGCAGTCGATGTTGATGCTGAGATCGAGTCCGCAACAGAATGTGAAGAAACAGTGCTTGCCTTGCCATTCTTTCTCAACTTATCGTCGTTAATAACAATGTAGTGTTGCAAAAATTGTTCATATTTTTGTTCGAATGTCATTTTTTCGTTGCCATCCGACATTTGGGTAATTATTTCTGGTGGAGCGGAAGCAGGTCGATCGTCGCCAACAAAAATCTCTCGTATAATCTCTTTGCGCTGTTGCATTTTTGACTCAGTTCGAGTTTTAGTTTTCAAAACAGTTGTCTCAAAAATGCTGAAATGTCGTTTCTTTCCATCACTGGATTCTTCGTCCTGTTCCTTCTTCATAGGGATTGAAAGCATTTCCATAACCGAACTCGATTCCGCACTATGCGAAACATCACTATGGACTTGGCTCCCAATACCGAAATTGCTTGCACTTTTCTTGCTCTTAGGTTTTGAACTGGCGGAAACCTTTGTTTTTATAACACGTGAATGAAGCACATCAATTATAGAACGTCTCTCCTCATGCAATTGCTGTTCTTGTTCGGTTTTGGAGGTCAATGAAGATTTCTCACTGATATTTGGTGTTGATTTTTGAAGTAATTTTTCGATAGATTTTGCAAATTTGGCACTTCTATTAGTGCTGGCTGCAGAAAAATCACGCTCGATCTCCAGATCGGGCAGAGACGCAGCCATTTTTAGATTGTGCGGATGCTCTATTGTGATTAGGTTTGGTGGAATTTTCAACGAGCGCTTATAGCGGTAAACCTCTAAAAACAAATCTGTTGGACGTTCCTTGACTTTATGTTTGCCATTTTGACAATCATCCTTATCAACTGCAATCGTTGCTTTGTTCGTTTTCTTATTATTCGAAACAGGTACCTTGTCAGTTTTGCCCCCCCCTTTTACATCCTTCTCATTTCTAGAGCGCAAACGCATTGAAAGCTCACGATCAGATTGTTTATTAGAGAGCTCCTTGCAAACAGCCGATACAGAGGTTTGATTGTTGACAAACTTGCGAACATATTTTCGTTTGATTGACTTCATTTTAGTCGTGGAATTGCGAATAATTTTATCGTTTCGCAATACTTTGCTATTCGCCAACTGCAGCTCCATTTCCCGCTTTCGCTTGGAGCGCGTCATTGTATTTAAACCTACTTTTAAAAGCACTTTGGGTTTCTTTGCACCTTTCCCAATTTCTTCTTTATTTTCAGAAATCTTTTGTGCTACTTTTTCCGCCTTCTCTTGTTTTACTTCCTTACATTTATTTATATTTTGAGTTTCTCCTTTCTGACTTATTTTAGAAGACGATTTAGGCGAATCTTCACTTTCAGATGATTTTGGTTCACCAGATATCAAAATGGTATTTTTAGTTGCGTTATTTTGGCACTTATCCCGGAATTCTGCTTTTGCTATAGTTTCCTGAATATCGATGACCTTCGATTTCGTTTTTGAATTAGAATTCACATCGCTTTTATCAATCGTTTGTGGAGGAACTTTTGCTGGAGAATTTCCTCCGTAATTAGTGTCAGAAGAATCGGAACCACAATCCGAATATTGATTTATGTCTGTCTGCGGGCTTTGCCGAGCTTTAGCCTTCTTCAGCGACTTCTTTGATCGGTCCGTTTTTCTTTTATGAATTTCATCATCACTCTCTGAACTACTATCCACTTGTAAACGAGCGGCGATCCGTTTTTCTTGCTGCAGCCGTATTTTTCCTCGATCTTGTTTACTTATTTTTTTCTGCATGACAACAATTGCTGACTGTGATGAATGGCCTTCTGGAGACATGCCGGCCGTACGTTCGCTCCTCATGGCGCTATCATTCACCGATTCGGCCATATCAGATGATTTGCTACTTTCAGTCGATTCCACATTTTGAGTGCTGTGCTCTAAAGGTACATCTTTTGCATTCGAAGAAATTTGACATCCTTCCACTATATGTGTTATATTATTACCAGGCCGCCGTTTGGAACACTTCTTTAACGAACTTGTAAGTAACTGTTCCATAAAGTCGGTGCATTTATTATTCCAACTGAAGTCTAAAAGACTAATCGAATCGTACTGCTGATCTAGCCCCGGAATAGACGGTAAGTCTGAGTTGGAAGTTTGACAAGTACTTGGCTCCTCTTTTATTTGTATAGGCTCTTTAACGGTACTTACTACATCTATCGGTATATTGAAAGTAAAACCTTTCAGTTCCGCTTTAGTTCTAATGCGAGCGGCTATCACTGAATTAGTTTCCGTTTTAATTGGAACCATTTGAACTGGATGTAAAACCGGTGGTGCAGGCGTATCCATAGCTGGTGTTAACGGCTCTATCTTACAGATAGGAATATTATTATTGATAATTATGGAGCTTTCCCGTTGACAGCAGGGGATTAATTCGGATTGCATGAACTTTTCACCTGTTTTTACATTCTGCTCTCGCTCTCTGTCTCCGTCTATTGCCCGATCATTTAATGCTATAACCGTCGTTGATGTGCTGGTAATAGGTAGCAATTTAACTTTTGGTGAGCCATCCTGTTCCTGATATCGGGTCTGTTTAACCAATGGTTCGTTACGCTGTGAATTTGAGTATTCTTGAAGATGACGCTTGCGACCAAGATAGTTAGGATTCCGCTGCTCATTCGCGTGTGCTTTGTTCAAGGAATTTGGGGCTTGATCAATTTCTACCAGAGTAACCTTGTCTGCGGTTTTTATGACACCTCCGCAATAAGCTGGTACACAAGCAGTTTCAGTGCCCCTCAATAGCAGGGGTTTCGGCAGCTGCATAATATTTGTGGTGGGTTTAAAATTATCGGCAGTTGCAAGTACATTTCTGTCGTTCATAGAATTTGGTTCAGATTTTATTAACTTCACTGTTGCGAATGGGTTAGATTCTACAACGCTGGGACGAACCTGACTCATTACACCATCATCTGACGTTTTGAATGCCATAGAGTTTGGTTTTATATCAGTTATCGGAGCCAGCTCACTGTGTTGAGTGACAATGCAAGCTCTGGAGGTATCTTCAGTTAAGTATTGCTTCTGATGATGAGTTGATTGTGATTGCACTGATATACCTTTCGATCCAACAGGCACGAACGTTGCTTTTGGAGCTTCAGGTAAATTTTTCAAATGTGGACTTTGCTGATTAATTACAATTTTAGGCACAGCTGTCCTATCATTAGAGTGTAGCGAAAAGTTTGGTGTAAAATTTACCCTTGGTAGGGCGTGCTTATAGTCTACTAGATGATTTTTCATAAGTGTCTGACTATAACAATACTCAGTGGAATCGGCCTTCGTTTTAACCGTTCGCATTGATAAATCTAATGGCGATGAACTTGAAGGTTCCTCAACCTTGATCGTACGATGCATATCAGGTAACGTTGCTTTAACGCAAATTTTCTGCGAATTGCGCGGAGCAGTAGATACATTTTCCACTAAAAAGCCATTTTCCGAAGAGACCATCCCATATTCCGAAGTCATTGGGGGGTTAATAGGCGGTGGCAAAGTACCGTTGTTCGTAACTGCAACGCTTTGTGGCAATTTCTCTATTGGTGGGGTTCCCGTTGGCCCAGTCGCGGAGTTCAAAGCCTTTTTAATAATTTGCAAGTCTAATTCTTTTTCCGATGTTGCACTCCTCATTGCATATACTTGGTTTATTAACTCTCGGTAATTTGTTTTTGGGACTTGAGATTTCTTGATAGCATTTGCTTTCTGTCCTTGGCTCGCTATATTTGAAATTGTTTTAGATTGCATTGGAGGGTCAATGGGTTGCCCTTGTTGGATAGGCGGTATGACCACAGGATGCAAGATGATTGGTTTAGAACTTTGTTGTTGCCGGTCATATGCACAGAAGTTTGTCGCTGGATGTATAGTCGTACTTTCAGAATGCGTTCGAACGGGATCGCGATGAATTTCCATTTGATTATGTTGCGGTGGACGAATTATTTGAGTGTAGTTCGCTGGCGATTGTGATTGACTCTGTGGAGTCAGATTCGTGTGATGCATTTGTATGTGGGTTGGTGGCGTTGTTTGTGACGGTGAAGGCGAGGCTACAGCTGCCACAGAGGGTGACATATTAAAATTAGTATTATGAACGCTTCCATCGTACTTAATGTTTTGAGTTTCATAAAAGTACGGTTGGGCTTTGTAGCCAGTAGTCCGATGAACAGGCGTAGGTGGGGGAGTATTTTGATTTTCTGGGCATAAGTGGGTCTTTGTTACTGTCTCCTTTGTCATTTTACCATATTTATAGTAGAAGTGCTGACCGGTATGTTCAGTAAAGCTATTACTCATATTGACATAAGACACAGGGATGTCCTTGCAACATGAGTCCGTCGGAGATGCCCTTTTGTAGGGGTTAGCATATAGCCCACTATTCTGATGTAGCATAGGAGTTTCAGTATATATGTCCTCGTTCTTTTTAAAATTCGTCAAATCATGGGTGGTACTTTTCGCTGCGTGGTGCAAATGTGACAACGGTTGAAATTGCGTGTGTGGTGGTAGAGCTTTCGGACTTTTCGAATACTGACTTGTAATTTGCACCTGTTTTACGCTAATCGGGGTTATTTCTGATACAGAAGTGATTTGCGACTTGGCACCTGGCATATAGTAGTTTTGACTACGAGAAATAGACGGGTTGACGTTATTCAATAGTGGTTCCTGGTGGTGAGGAGCTAATTGTGATTGTTGCAATGTGGTTTCGTGCATTTGTGGGTGGTGATATTTACTACCACCACTTTGAGATGTATAACCACTTAAAGAAGACATTTTGTTCATCTTCACTTCATCAGAGGCACAATCGCGAACTTTCACTTCTGTTTCATGCATAATTTTTCTCTGCGCGTGAATATTACTGAATTTATCTGAACTGAATTGTGGTGTTGACATATATAAGCTTTGATGCGTCGTGCGCGTGTTACCGTAATCGGTTTGTGAAAAAATTTGCGGACATTTACGAGCATAATTCGGACTTGCTTGTTGTTCTTTCAAAGTCATCGAGTTACTGGGGTTTATAATATTGCTAGGATCCATTTTATTTACGCGTATTATGTCCACGGGCGCTGAAGCTGACTTTTGGCTTTGTATTATCTCATTATACATTGTGTTTACTGCCCCATGATCGGGAATAGTAGAGTAGCCGATTTTTACATCTTTATACAAGTCCGGTCTCGCTGAATACTTTTCGTCGTAAATATTCTCCTTAGGATAGTTACCAATTGCACTAAGGTGTTGATGATGCTTTTGCTGTAGTTGTTGCGGTGGCAGATTTGCCACATTGGCTATATTCGATTGCGTTTGCATTTGCATGAGATTTTGCTGTGGCTGGGGTTGTGGTTGCTGACGCGGAAATTGCTGCTTGAAACTATAATTTGACTCCAAGGCACAACTTTTACTAGAGACTGCATTTCTATCTTGTTGTAATCCTACAATACTTTCACTGTTCGGCTGGAAGTATTGTCGCCCATCATGGGAATACATCGGATTTTGATTAAATTTTTCCCGAGCTGTACTTGTGGCTTGAAAATCTATTCTCGATGTGCGCTCTGAATTCCAATTGCCATCTGCTGCTGAAGGGCATGCATTGCACGCAGTATTATTATGTGACATGCTTGGACACATGCAAGACTTATTATTAACGATAACTCTCTCCTGTGAGTAATATTGAGTATTTGATCGACTTTCTTCGATTCCTCTACTAAAATACATTGCACTTTGTTTTTCTTCATTGCCACCAATGAACTCGTGATGTCTATTTGGATCCATAATATTCTACAAAGAACCTTGAAAGATATAAAGGAAGCTGTTATACAGTTACATATACATACATACATCAAACATTTTGAAATATAAAGGGTGTACACACCAAAACTGCGACACTTAGAAATTTCCACCAGAAACAAACTAGCAGGCTTTGAAAATATTTTTTTTTTTTTGTATTATATAACTTGGAAGTTTAGATGTTATTAAAATGTTAAAATATTAGTTATTATTTGCTCCATATGCAAGTGATCGGTATTTTCATCGCACACGCGCCATCATGTTCTGCACGACTGCATCATCGACTTTACGCGATGCGCACAACTGCTTTGTTTTGCACTCTTCAATATTTTTCACTGTTTCAACTGTTTTCTGCAAGATTTCTTTGACAATTGACCAATATTCCCCAATAGGACGTGGCTCTGGGTTATTGGGTGGATTGCAGTCGTGAGGTACAAAATTGATGTTATTTGCATTATACCACGGCAATGTGTCCTTGGCATAGTGGCAGCTTCCCACGTCCGCCTAGAACAGTAGCCTACTCCTTATCTGTTGATAAATGACAGAAGACGCCTTTTGAGGCACTCATCCCGATAAACTTGATCATTCATTGTCCCGGATGGGAAAAAAGGGCTGCTCTTACGGCCACAGGATCAAATAGCTTGCGAAACCATGTGGTTTTTTGGAAATTTAGACTTCATTTTCAGCTTACAACTTTCAGGGGCATCTTGACGACTTGCACCAGTATAAAAATCTTGACCTGCAATATATTTTGAGTTTTTAAAGCAGTAGGTTTCGTAGTCCATAACAATGCAGTTGTATTTTTTAATTTAGAATTCATACCACTTCCGACTGCGGGATTTCGCTGTAATATTCTACTTTGCGCCTCGGTCTGGCGCTGTTTGAGCTTTAGCACATTTCAATGAAGCTTTCCGCTTTACCTTTTGTACGAAAAACTGCGATCTGCGTACGGATTTTGCAACATAACGGACAAAATCTTCAGATTTCGCGAAAACGCACTGAGGACCTTCCGAGCACTGTTTTTATCACTTTGACCATGCTAACCCCCGCTCCCTGGTTTTCTCGTAACTGCCAGGCCTTATTTGTATCGATTAAAACCCTGCAAACTGTCGAATAGTGCAATCTTTAATTCTTTAGCAATTTTACGTGTACTTAAGGCCGGATCATTTATAAACTCGTGCAAAATGGTTTGTCTCGTTTCTAACTCGGTTGCCATTTTTAGCTCAACTAGGAATCAAATTCAAATGAAATTTCTTCTACGTCCAACTCAGGTCATGTAGTCAGCTTATGGTATTTGAATTTCAAAATATTGAATTCGTTTTGGGTAAGTTATAAGCTTCCCAAAGTGTCGCAGTTTTGGTGTGTTCACCCTTTATATCGTCGTTTAAAGTACGAAACCGCGTATCAAGATAATACAAATCGCAAAAAACTGCATAAATTATTTTCTAGAGAGTAAAACACTCATATTTCAGAATAGTTCTCTTT